ACCGTTTCCCCGATATTCAAACTGCCGTCCTTCGCCCCAACCCCTTCGAACCCCGTGTGCGCTCCCATTCTTCGCGCAGCGTGCCGTTGCCACGGCCTACTCCATTCAGATCGTTTTCGCGAAAATTAGCCGTCAATTCGAGACCAGCCCCCCAGTCGCGTTCACTTTGTTACCCCGTCGAGCGGATTCGCGTCAAAGCTCTCTCGAATCCGCCAGCGATCAAAAGCCAACCTGGCCCGGGGTTAGGAACCTCGTCCCAGGAAGCCTGAATCCCGGTTTTTCCACGAATTTCAGAGATCCCTTGCTCTGATTGAGTCCTGCACGTGAACGCTGCACGGATATGGCGCGACTTTTCGTGGAACGCGAGGAGTTTGTCTCTTTTTTTCACTTCGTTGAAGCTTGGAGGGGATAGTTTGGTCTGTCGAAGCGGTCCGCTAGATAAACGTACGGGAAAGTATTTGTTTTATGTAAGGAAAAGGATGCCGCGGATAACGATGAATACTGAAAGTCGGCCTATTTGATGTTCTCCATTGTGGACGAGTGTTGGTTCTTTAGTTAGGTGTACGTTGAAACTGATAGTTCTCCATATTTTTGTTGTATAAATAGCTTCGCAATAGGTTTAAGGTAAAAGGTATTTGTGGATCTAGGATAAATTTAGTTCCTTTTCTTACATGGTCTTCTAGCAAAGTTAATGAACGATAAACTACCCTTATCTCGGCTTTGAAAGACATCGTAAAGCGAAGGGCTTGCAGAGAAAGATCTTCAGGGCTAAGAACTTCAGCTAAGTAAAGGCGTAGAGAATCATCTCCGGTCACCGCCCCGTTTCGACCTCGTCGAAAACAGTTCGATTAGTTCGTCATCCGCGCGCAAGTGGCACGTGACGTGTACGTGCGCCGCCGAACAAAAGCCTGGGCCCATGTTTCAGCGGCAGAACTATTGACATTTCAAGCGCCGCGCGGAACTGCTCTCTTGTCCGCGACATTTACGTTCTCTTTTTCCGCCTTTTTCATCCCCCAAACCCTTTCGGAAAGCTTTCCCGTGTCTCGTTTCGATCGCGCCGCGGCGCGAGAACGCCCGAGCCGGCTCCGTGCCCGCGCCCGAGCCCCGGGATCGATAAAATTAGCGATTACCATCTGCCGTTCGATCGGAGGTCTCTCGTTAAGACGATAAATCGAAGATTTATCGGCGCCGATCGGGCCCCGATCGTATCTCGCCCGAATGATCCGCGCTGGGGCCCGTAACAAGTTCCATCGATTGTTTTGAGCCGCGCGCGCGGATCTACGCGCGTGATAATTAACGGCCACCTCCACCCCCCCTAGCGTCTCGTTACATCGATAATTATCGCCGTTGGGGTGGATTCGTTAACCAGCCATCAATTTATTCAGCTTTATCGCCTTCAAAAATCCCGTTTCACGATGCTGCGAAGAATATTCTTAAGCGCTATCAGCCCTGCGTATCCTAAATTAAAGCCTCTCGATGTTATTGCCGAGTCCCACGCTGTTATCCGCCGACACGCGTCGTTGTGTACTGAACGAGGCGATCCTCGGTTTAAATTGTATTTCCGGAGAGTTTACACAAATTGGCATGTGTTACTCGCGAGGAGTATCGTCTAGTTGATATATTGATTACGATACGCGTTTCTCAAGCGAATGATTTTATAGAAAATTAACTCGGACAGTATAATTAATTTACTTCGCAAATGTTACCTCTCCGCTTAACACTGTCCCACTTTCATTTTCTTAATACAAAACGATTGCCTACTGGTAAAAGAATACTTGTTAAATATTTTTTCGAGTACCATACGATACTGGAATCTTAATAAAATCGGGTCGATCGGCCATGTTAACATCGCGGCTAATGTAATTCATTTAATTCCGTGGATCTCGG